TATGTAATACTACATGGATATAATATTGATGAATCTTAGCAATAAATTAATAATATATACTATTACTTCTAGAATTACAGAACACTACTGCCAACAATTGCAGAAGATACATTCTTTTTAAGTATACCGGGAACAATCATCAAGATAAGCCATATGTTAGGCTATAAAATGTCTCTATAAGTTTCAAAAGTTTGAAATCTTACAAAGTATGCTCTATAACAACAATGGCATTAAATTAAATGTCAATAACAATAAGATATTTAGGACCCCCCCCAAATACTTGGAAAATAAACAACACAACTCCAAATAAGTAATCCAATGATTTAAGAAAAACTCACAGAAAGGGAAATTAAAAAATATTTCCAAATGAATGCTAATTAAAGCAAAACATATCAAGATTTATGGGATATCAATAAAGCAATCATTAGAGGTAATTTTCTAGCTTTGTTTGCTTATATCATTAAAGAATAAAAGTTTAAATAAATTATCTTAGTTTCTACCTTAAGGACATAGAAAAATAAGAAAATTAAGTAAGTAGAAAAAAGAAATAATAAAGATAAGAGAAGAAATCAATGAAACAAAATAAACATTAGAGAAAGCTAACAAAGTCAAAACTTGGTTTTCTGAAAAGATCAATACATTTGAATCTCACAAGGAACTTCTCTTAGGGGGGCAAAATAGTACAACACCTTGTGAAAACAATTTTGTATTATATTTTCATTTAGAATGTGCACATGCTTTACAAATCTGTTATTGTACTCCTAATTATAAACCGAATAGAAATTATTGCAAATCTACAGCAGAAAACTCATATAAGAATATTTATAATACTCTGTTTGTGATAGAACAAACCTAGAAATAGCCCCAAAACCCTACAACAGGATACCAGATGTAAGAATTGTGGCATATTCATTCACTAGAATATTATAAGAAATTTAAACAACTGAATCACAATTATGCACAATGACTAATTTAATGCAAAATATTTCTTGAGTGCCCATTGGGTGCTAGGCACTGATCTTGGCATTGGAGATAGATCAGTTAATAAAACTGACAGCCATCTCTACCCTCAAGCAATTACATTCCTGAGGAGGAGAAAGATAATAAACAATACATATAATAAACAAGTAAATTATGCATGAAGTACACTAAAAAGTGATGAATGACTATGAACAAAAGAAGTGAAGCATTGATAAGGGGGCTCTGGAATACTTGAGTTGGAGAAACTGCAGGAGCTAATACACAGGGGGAGGGGAGTGTAGGAAGATTGTTTTTATCAATGTGATACTAAATGGATACAATATTGATGAATCTTATCAATAATGAGTGACAAACACACATCCAGATGTTGCACCTCAATTCTGCTCTGCAGCAGTGAAAACTCTTAGGAAATCCTGCAGATGCTCTTTTCCTCTGATGTGAGGAATAATGCAGAGGACTGGTTTTGAGAGGGAAGAGGCAGAAGATCAAAGCAGCTTGGATCACTGAGTCACCACCTGGATATAAGGAGGCCATCAACCGAAAAAGCCATTATTAGTATATGTACCCCTAAGAAGGGGAAAAATGCTGTCACTGAATTACTTGTAAGCTGAATCCTGATTTCAGAAACACTTTAGAGTCACTGACATTTTGGATGAAATTTTCAATAAAATGAAAAAAAAGTAAATGTGAACATTTTCAATGGGCTACAAGATATACTTTTTATCTACATGTCATTTGCCAGTTGGAGAAACAGCTGGTAGCTATACATTTGAAATTATTTCCTCAAAACATTTGTAATATGTAACCTTTCTTTCTTCCATGTACACGAAATAATTCTCCCATATATGTTCTGATATCATCTGAAGGATATTTTGAGACGAATATTTTTTTCGAGATTTCAGAGACAATCTTGCATTCTATTATTCAACAAACAAACTTTGAAATATATACTTAATAACATAGGTCAGTTCCTTCCACGGAATTCATTCTATATATGTGCTATATAACTATAATTTCAAATATTGTACAGATCAATGAAAAATATTTTTAAGGGTTATTAATTTTCTGAGTTTTGAAAAGGAAGTTTTTCTTTAAGAAAAGCCTACTTATTTCTCAGGCTTTATTAAGTGATTTAATTATAGTACTATAGGTTAAAAACTAAGGCTTTCAAGCACAGACTTTGGGGATCACAGGGATTTCTTAAAGGAATTCACATGAAAAACAATGTCTTCCTGATGTTGTTCTAAGATGATTGCACAGAAATAGTAGCACGTGTATTTGACCAATTAGGCAACCAATTCCAGCCACTAAGAGAAGTAAATCTGATAATTCAGCTTTTAAAATTTAAGGCAAAGGATTGCTGAACCAGATTAAGTAATTTGATATTATATCACATATTTTATTATATTCAATGAATTTCATAAATTTTTGACAGAATCATAATTTCTGCAAATGATTCAAATTGCTTCCCCCAAATTTCAAGATATATGCATATTAATCTGTACCAAAGGTGTTAGCACATGTAATTATTAGATTCTAGTTTATATTTCAGCTGACCACAAATTTAACTACATAACATGTCTGTCATATGGTAAAGAAATAAGCATATTCATAACATACATCTGAATGTTTTAATTTTACATTAAACCTTTTACTTCTTGTTCAATGTCCCTAAGATACATTGTATTTTGTATTTGATTAGTTTGTTCTTCATAATTTCTTCTAGTATACATTGTGCCTTAGGGGAAATTTCAAATTATGTATGTTGCAAGTATTGAAGGAGAAGCACAAGTTGAAAAATAAATAATTGAGGTGTGGATCCAAAAGTGGAGAGTATTAGAAGTTAATTTGAAACATTGCTTTTTGGAGTTTAATTATTTTGAAAGACACTTGCAAGACTACTTTGCAATAGTCATATTCATATAGGGTAATATGGCTAGTGCCCATTTTATAGATCAGTAAACTGCTTGCAGAACAACTTGCTAGGACAAGTTATCTGTAAGGATAGGTTCAAGATAAGAAACTCAGTGGTGGAGACTTATTAGTCATTGTTCTAACCTTATTTCCTCACTGTGGATACAGTTTGAGAATGTATTCCTATGCATATGTAGCACAATATTTTCTACTGGATGTTTAACTAGATACCAAGGTGTAGAGTTCCAGAAATTTGAATGTATGCCTCAAACATCTGGAGCTATACATAAGGGGAATAAACAGCTGTGTTTATTTCAATGATTACAGATTTACATGCATACAATACGTTTATTTAAATGTATAATCTGTTATATATGTGAGATATTCAAACAAATGCATTTGCTGTACTTATTTGAATATGCAATTGAAAAAGGATTCAAATAAATAATTCACTACTTTCATTTAAATCTAACAGTATTTATAGAATGTACTTATTAATATACAATCATAGCTCTTCCTTTTTAGTCTAAAATCAAATATTTTTAAAAGATTAAAGAAACATAATGGGATCACGAGTCATATACATCAAGAAATTTTTGTACAGTGGTATTCATAGTTAGCTTTCAGAAGAATTTGGAAATTCAGCAGGACAAGAGGATACAATAATTTACATTTGGAACGTTTCTTTTATTCCAACAATTTTATCATAGAATGGTGGACATTTTAATTGAATTTCAAAGCACTTGTCCAGAGATAGTGTGTTCTTTTTTTTTCTTTCTTACTACTACCACATCTGACAAGATAAACATTTCTGAGTATTGGTTTAATATAAAAGGAAAAAACAGGGCCAGCCCGGTGGCGCAGTGGTTAAGTTTGCACGTTCTGCTTCTCAGAGGCCCGGGGTTTGCTGGTTCGGATCCCTGGTGCAGATCCCAGGTGCGGACGTGGCACTGCTTGGCAAGCCATGCTGTGGTAGGCGTCCCAGGTATAAAAGAGAGGAAGATGGGCATGGATGTTAGCTCAGGGCCAGTCTTCCTCAGCAAAAAGAGGAGGATTGGCAGTAGTTAGCTCAGGGCTAATCTTCCTCAAAAGAAAAATAAATAAATAAAAAGAAAAAGCGTTTCACTATTTTAAAGCCATACACACAAAAATCTGGTTAAGAGTATTAAGACAATCTCATTTAACTCTACCTTTATTTCTGGGAGAGAAACTGGAGACCGGCAAATGATTTAGGAAGACAGAAAAGAAAATCACATTTTGGATTCAATTTCTGGCCCTGATATCCTGAGAGATTTCAGAGAACCTCCTAGTTAGTCTTTTTATATTGCCTCAGTTCTTTTGTATGCTATTTCCTTTCTCAAGGTTTTTTTTTTTTTTTTTTTTTTTAAAGTTTTGATGGGCTGGATTAGAAGAAAATGACATACTTGAACAAAAGAAAAATTAAATTGAAAGTCGTGTGCATTTTGAAAGAATTTTAAATTCAATTTACCACAGTATAAAAATAATGACTGTAGGCACGTTTTCATTCATTGAATGATGGAATAAATGTAACCTCTCTGAGCCTCATTTTCATCGTCCATAGGCTGTGGATAATAACATCTCTCAATGGGTGTTGTCAGGATTATATCAGTACAAGGTACAAATCATTCAATTGTCAAATGCTTTCCAAATAATAACTAATAACTTACTATTTCTTTCCCATTTTGTGGATGTGTTCGTCATGTTTCAGGAATCATCTTTCCTAAATTGATTAATCTCCTGTTAAAAGCTTGCATCTGCAAACAACCTAGTTTTCAGAGACAGTTCATACTTCCCTTTGGGGATGCTCCCCAGAGAGTGTGATGGGGAGTACATGAGTGTATTTAGATGGGAAGGGTTCAATGATCAAAATAACGTGTTTTTCTGTTTTATATTTATAAAACGAGTCCTTATTTTTAATTTCTACAGTCACTGTGAGTCAGGTATTAGAGCCTGGGACTCACGTCAAAAGAAAGGAAAAGCCGCAGGGCCCGCGCATTTGGGCCCAGGAACAGCGCAGAGGCGGGAGAGAGACCGACCAATTGGAGCGCAGACTGAGGACTGGTCACGCCCCTTTCCGTCGAGATCCGCCTCTTTTTCCGTACGGCCCTTCAGGAGCAGGGATGTGCAGCTTGCTAGTCCCGCCCCTGACCTTGAGTGACAGGACCGCGGACGGCAACATTTCCAGCCGGACACGAAGTTTGTCGGCCTTTGTCTTGGCTGAGCTGAGGTGTGTGTGTGTGTGTGTGTGTCCCGCGACGGCGAGGGGCTTGGGGAAGCCCTGCCCGGGAAGCTAGGGGTCCGGGTCTGAAAGCGGGCCCACCTCCTTAGCGAGCCCCCAAAGCTTTTAGGAGACGATCGTTTCGCCCCTGAGAGCGGCACTTGGGCGGGCTGGGCGGAGGGAGGCTGTGGAAGAGGAGGCACTCGGAGGCCGGGAAACCCTGTAGGTACCGTAATACCTTAAGAACCTCTTCCTGGCGAGCCAGGCGCTGGCAGTGGGGGTGGGGATGGTGGGCAAGGGGCTTCGGCGGTGGGTGGGCGTGGCCGCCTCGGTTGCTAAGGAACGCGCAGTTCCCGCCCCGCCAGCGTGTCATGCGCTGGCAGCTGGGTCCTGGAAACCTTAGCCCCACCCACCTCTGAAGCCTTTCACTTGCCTAGGGATTGGCTCCCTTATGCTGTCAGTTAATTCGCGTCCGTTTATTTCACTGTCCAGCTCTCTGGGTCTTCCCTCTCTGATAGTACTCCTCTCCACACTTTTCCCTGCCTCTCTTTTTTAATGAATGAGTATCTGCAGACCAAAACATTTGTAGAGAAGAGCTTCAGGCAGGATGAGGTGCCTTTATTGGTGTTTGTGTGGGGTGGTCTTTTCCTGGTGCTTGGTGAATCCCTGAACCCACACGGTGTTGGTGTCCACGTGGACGGCTAGGAAAAGGGGTTTGGAGATGTGGTTTCTTCTACCTGGAATTCTTTTTCTCGCCGCTATCTGTTTGAGCGCAGTGAGCTTCCCAGGAAGTTGAGGCAATTTATTATTGGACACGCCCCAGTATATGATCTCCTTTTCAGTCCCTACTGTGGAGGGATGATACTAAGCCTATAAAACCCTTTTTTGCTTCATTGGCCCATATTTAATGATTAACTATGAGGTGGTAAGTACAGATAACCATTTCAACTCTCTTCTTTGCTCATATCAGCTGGCACCAAATGATTCAGCAGAACAAACATTCCAGAGAGAAAACACAAAGGAGCTAGGAGTCTGCTTTTACTTCCTTCTGCTAAGTTTACTGTATAAATCTCCAAGAAGGAAGCTTGTACTGCTTCTTAACACTGGGAAGAATCTTGGCGTAGAAGTCAGGAAACTGGCAGGGTTAAGAAATGTTTGTCCTTGGACAATAACCCTCATAACTGTTTTCTCATCTGTAAAGTGGAGCTACTTATGTGCCCTTTGTTCCTAAAAAGTAAGGAGGAATAATTGATTGTGAAAGTATTAATGATCTACACAGATGTAAAGTGTTATTGAGTACACTTTAAGTCTATCCTTTTTTCTATATGATCGGAATTTGTAAACACATGTAAGTATGATCATTCACCTTAAAGTATTTCCAAACTTCCCTGGTGATTTCTTCTTTTATTTTTGGGTTATTTAGAAGTGGGAAGAAACCCGTTCATCTATCTTTTATTGATTTTGTATTAGTTCTGGTTAGGTAGCATGTGAAATGTCTTGCGTGACACTGTTTTTCCCCTTGACATCACAAGGTTTTTTTCAAGAATATACATAGCCTGAAAGGCGTGGGAAACATTACCTTCTAATCTAATGATGAATGACCTTTTTGGTGTCATATACCACTTTTAGAAGTCAAGGAAAGCTGTTGACTCTCCCCGTAGAAAAAAACCACAATTTGAAGCATAAATAGGCCCTGGATTAAGGACACCTGTTTTCAATCAACTTCTTGAGGGCTAAGGGAATTACTCTCCCTCTTTGCCTCACCTTAAAGAGAGACTGAGTAACATATCCAAAGCTACAGAGCTTGGAGAAGAGTTAGGTCTTTTTCCTTTTTTCCACGATGCATCTTACCATGGCTTACCTTAGTTCAGGATCTTCAGCCAATCTTTTTTTTTTTTTAGCGTTTAACAAACAAGAACTACCAATGCTCAATTAATTGTTGCTGCCTTTGAAACCATGTAAGCTGTATTTCATTCCATATGCCCTTTGATCATTCTCTTATAGAATATTCTTATATTTAAGCAGGTGAAAATAGAAATTATTTTCAAATATTTGGGGAAAATGTTAAATCGTATTTTTGAGATAAGCATTAAGTACATAAACTTTCTCTTCTACCAAAGTCCATTTTGGACAAAGAAAAGCTGATTACATTTGGTATATGCCACTAGAATATCATTACCTGACTCTTAGAACTTTTTTCTTAAACTTAAGTGAATGATCTTTTATAGCATTTTAATTTTCCCTGGCTAAAAATCACTGTGGTTGATTCCACTGTGGCTCTTTTCCTGATTTCTATATTAAAGTTAAAGGCTGTAAATAGAATTATTTTCTTTGATAAATTTCCTTTATCTGGCTTTATCAATAAAAATAGCCATCAGTAGTAAATATCATTAGATAAGGAAAACATTGAAAAGGGAAAAATATATTGCTTTTGTAATAAACATAAGAGTATATAGGAGCACCTATTGTTTCTTTAGCACACAATTTTATTTGAACTGTTTAGTATTTGGCTATTGCTTTCTTTACTCATTTCATTTCTGGTGGAGGAGCTGGAATAAAGGCATTATTAGAAAGAGCATTAGAAAGAGCATTCTAATAGAATTACAGTTTTTAGGGGCTCAATAAATAACAGCTCTTTCTTTCTCTTGGGCTTTAAACAGTCAGGTAGAGTTTGCAATATTGCTTTGTTACCAAAGAGCTGATTGGGAATAGTGCTTTAGATGGGAGACCAAAAATGAGTACTAGTAATTCTTGTCCCCTTCTACCTCCCCTCCCTTTCTCAGAACCTAGACTTTAGTCCAGCTGGGAGAAAATTTCAGTTTGCAGAACAGATACGCTTACCCAGTATTACTCTGCGTCATCCGGGGTGGAGAGGGAAGTAAGAGAAACTAAATCTTTAGTGTTTACAGTGTTTGTCTCTACCCATTGGAGTAATGTGGACCAGTGAATTTCAGCTGCTGATCAATTAACTCTCCTGTTAAAAGCTGTGAGTACGGGGTGGGATCTGAAGCCAGGACTGTCAATATGGTGCTCTGGTTTTCTATTCTGGGTGATTCCTCTGGGCCATTTGAAATATGTGGGGGTGTCTTTAAATTTTTACAGTGTCTTTAAAGGAGATGCTACTGGCTTTTGGGACCCTGAAGTTTAGGGATGCTAAATATCGTGTAAATGTAGAGGTCTGCCAACTCTAGAAAGAAATGAAGAATTTCTTTTCCCTGTTCCAATGCCAAAGCATCTCCACTGATAACCACCGCTTCAGTGGAAGTTCCTCCATGTAGACACATAAGGCTAGGCCGGATTTTTCTCATAGTTTTTGTTCATATGTATCTACATACGTATTACATTCATTTAATCTTTTCTTATGTGATAGAAATGTTGTGTCTTTGCAATAATAGAGTGAGAGGGGTATATGTTTTCATGAAGAATGTGCTTGAGTATTATAATACGTTCTCACTACTCACAGTGATTCCATGTAGCACCAGATCTCTCTGGGCAGCAGCAAATGAGATTTTTTTCAGGATGGGAAGTTACACTTTTAAAAAGAACCTCCCAGTTTCTGATTCCATTTTGTCTGTTTCCCAGAGGTCTATTTTCTGTCTCTTCTCCTCTTCTCAATATCTCCTCTCCCCATACATACACACATTTGGAAAACACTGGACTATGAAGAAATGATCTATACAGTCTCTTTTAATGCTAAAATGTTATGGATAAATTCAACATTTGAAATGAATGAAGTGGAACAAAAATATCTCGCAAAACCAAGCAAAAGGAAATCAGAAGATTCAGAGCCATACCTGTGAAAATCTAAGATGAATTTTCAATTAAGGAAGAATATTTGAAGAAATTCTTTGACATCTAATGCATGCAAGAATACATGGCCTCTTTGGAGAGGAGAACTCCCTATAAAAAGAACAGACAATGATTAAGTGATAGTAGGAAGATAGGTAGAACAAAAAGATGACAAAGAAACTGAAAATATGAGAACCATTAGATTTTTATTCCTGCTATAAAAAACTACCACAAATTTAGTGATTTAAAGCGACATAAAATCATTATCCTAGAGTTTATAGTTCAGAAGTCTGACATAGGTCTTCTTGGGTTGAAATCAGTGCAGGGTTGCATTTCTTTCTGGAAGCCCTGGGAGAGAATCTGCTTCCTTGCCTTTTCCAGCTTCTGGAGGCTGCCCACATTCCTTCATTTGACTCCTTCCTCCATCTTCAAAGCCAGCAACATTGTATCTCTCTCACTGTTCTTCTGTAGTCTGACCCCTTCTGACACAGCTAGGAAAAGTTGTCCACTTTTAAAGACCCACATGGATAATCCAGGATGATCTTGCCATTTCCACATTCTTCATTTAATCACATTTACAAAGTTACTTTTACCACGTAAGGTTACATATTCACAGCTTCTGGGAATTAATATTTGAACATCTTTAGGGGGGGCATTATTCTGCTTACCACAGTAACATATTAAAAATTCATATTTGAGGCAGTAAAGAGCAGAATTAATATTACTGTAGAAAACTTAATCAATGTGAAGAATAGACTTGAAAAGTTCTCCTAGCTGAAATATTGAATTCATGAAAAGAAGATGATGTATAGAGGAAAAAGAATGAAATCCACTATGTGACTATTTAGAGTTTCTGAAGAAGAGACTAGAAAATAGATCATTGTTTCTAAAGAAGAGAACAGAGCATTTGAGAAAACTAATAAAGAATTAACAGGAAATTCCACTTTTCTGAGCTGAGAAAAACCTATGAATGCAGAAAGGATTTTTCTTATGTAAGACGTGACAACTCAAAGAGACACAATATCAAAAAATTTTCAAATTACAATGATAAAAAATCTTTATTTAGAAAGAGAGAAAAACTAGCATATTACTATCAGGAAATAAAAATTAGGCTGGTCTCAGACTTCTTTTCTGTAGCATTAAATACCAGAAGGCAATAGAGCAACATTTTTAGAATTTTTAGAAGAAATTTCCATGCAGTTTGTATTTCTTGTGTGATGGCAGTAGAAAACCATTCCTAAGAGTGTAAGGCATTCTAAACTACATGCTGTTTGCTTTTGGGAGGGGGAGAACTAAGACGTACAACAATTTATTAGAAGATGTTGCAATATAAAACAAAAGCTATGTTAATATCCAAAAACAAAAGAACTGATGGTATATTTTAAAGTCCTTGAATATGGAGGTGGCTCTAAATAATTATGCTAAACCTAGTTAAAAATTGATTGCAAATGTAAAAAACTGCTTCTATGAGAAGATGTAGAATGTAAAAATTAATTCAATTCAATAACAACACTCGATTTAAGTAAAATTTTTTCATCTTCTGATTTGTTTATGCTAGAGATGAAATCTGGTAATTCACAAGTAAGAACCGGGGCTGGCCCTGTGGCCAGTGGTTACATTCCTGAGCTCGACTGCAGGGGCCCAGGGTTTCACAAGTTCAGATCCTGGGCACAGACATGGCACTGCTCATCAGGCCACGCTGAGGCAGCATCCCACATGCCACACCCAGAGGCACTCACAACCAGAATATACATGAATGTACTTGGGGGTGCTTTGGGGAGAAGGAAAAAAAAAAAGATTGGCAACAGTTGTTAGCTCAGGTGCCAATCTTTTAAAAAAAAAAAAAGTAAGAACATATTTAAACACATACCTGAATCATTAATTGGCAAACTATGACCCATGGCCCACTCAAATATGCCTCACTGCCTGTTTTGGAATGACCAATGAACAAAATACTTTTTACATTTTTAAATGGTTGAAAACAATCAAAACAATAATAGTTTGTGACATAAAAATTATATGAAATTCAAATTTTATTGTTTATAAATAAAGTTTTATTGGAACACAGCTACATACACTCATTTGTTTACATATGCCTATGGCTGCTTTTGCACTGCAACAGCAGTGCGGAGTAGTTGCAGCAGAGATGCAATGTGATGCTGTCTGTACTGCTTCTCACAGCGCTACAAATCACAGTGACATGGTTACAACTTAATTTTGCCTCTTGACCTGCAAAACCTGAAATATTTATGATCTGGCCCTTGACAGAAAAAGTTTACAACTTCTGACTAAACTGAAAACTTTAGTGTATAAGGCTGAACTTTCTTTTTTCAATTCACTGAACCCACATTTACTTAGTTATTGCCCTTCAATGTTCTACTTACCCCAGTATCTCTTAGGTCTTATATAGACTGGGGTTAAAAACCAAGAATCTATTATTCTTTACATTCAATAATACACATTTTCTCTTTTCCATCTCTGTGCCTTAAATGAAACAAAAATCATGTAAGGATTTTAGAATTGCGTTTCCAAAGACAAAAATTAGTCAGTTAATACTGCAATATTGTAAGAAATGATGAATACTTTACTATTGTATTTCAAAATTCTATGTACTTTTAGAGGTAAGCATGTACAATATTTAATAAACGAGTTATATGTCAATCAGTTAATCAGCAAAGATTTATTTGGCAGCTATAGGTGAATTATACAGAGGAAGTGGCATTGACAGGAGGCCTTGAAGGATGCCTGTGACTTCAAGGTAGATGACGGCTGGGGCTAAGGTAACATCAAGATAAGGAGAAGATTTGTAAAGCCACTACGCTATCAATAGGATCATGTGGTTGGGAAAGGAAGTTCACCGGCTGGAGTTGAAGCAATAAAGAGCCCAGGGTGAGAAGGCTGTTATATGCCATGCAAAGCAATCTTCATCCTGTAGGCAGAGGTTCCATTTTAAGTTTTTAAACAGTAGAGCAACGTGATCAGATTCGTATTTTACAATAAGGATTCTTAAAGTTTTTCAAATATAGCACACTCTAAAATTATTATTATTTTCTTTTTCGAGGAAGATTAGCCCTGAGCCAGCTGCTGCCAATCCTCCTCTTTTTGCTGAGGAAGACTGGCCCTGAGCTAACATCCATGCCCATCTTCCTCTACTTTATATGTGGGATGCCTACCACAGCATGGTTTTTGCCAAGTGGTGCCATGTCCACACCCGGGATCTGAACTGGCAAACCCTGGGCTGCTGAGAAGTGGAACGTGCGAACTTAACCACTGTGCCACTGGGCCGGCCCTAAAATTCTTAAATGCTATGACTATACTTTGAGAGAACAAAAGTTGTCTTGGGGTATACCCACTTATGTCCTATTTATAACAGGTTTTTCCTTGAGGGAAGATGTATAAACAAAACTCTGCTTACCCTAGAAACTTATGTAAGCAGTGTATTAAATAAACTGAAATAATTTTAAATTTTGAAAAGATTAGGGAAGCTATCTATAAGGTAAAAAAGTAATCTGTCTGGCTTCTGGGTCCATAGAACTGCATTAAGACCAAACATAATGTATATGTTTGCACGCTACGCCACTTTTATATATGGCTTACAAAAGCTTTATGAAAACTTGAGATGGTAGAAGTTTAGTTGTGGACCTCTTGAACATATTTAGATTCTCTTCGACATTTAAAAAACAATGTTTAAATTAGTGCTTAGCATTTCTTCTAATAAAATTAACATCTTTGTTTTCAATGCCTGTATGGACTTTGACTAAAACCATATCTCATTTTAAACCTTGGTTTAGATATACAGTGAAAATAATTTTCCAGATAATATTGTCTCACATTTATATAGACCTTTATATTCAACACATTATTTTCATAAAAATGATCTCCTTTCATCCTTAAAATAATCTCTGTGATAAATTTAAAAGGATTCTTTTCTCCATTTTACAGATGTCAAGTCTATAGCTCGGCTGGGCCATCTGAACACACTCTTACCTGTAGAGGAAAGAGAGCAAGCTCTGTGATTGGATAGATTTGAGTTCAAATCACTGCCCTTTTTCCTTGTTGATTGTGCATACTTGAAAAAGTCACTTAATTATTAGGAAACTCAGTTTTCCCAGTTGGGGTTAGTTGTAGATGGGACATATTACCTTTCTATAATCTAAAAACTTCCAAGACATATCTTGGCCCAAACATTATGGGTAAAGACTGTAGACCTATATTATTTTGACTCTTTTATTTTAATAATGGCTTTATTGAGATATAATTCACAACTTTAAAAGTTATTACCTTAAAGAGTACAATTCGGTGGTTTTTAGCATATTCACAGTTGTGCAATCATTACCACTATTTACTTTTAGAATATTTGTATAATCTCAGAAAGAAACTCTGCATCCATTATCAGTTACTCCCTATCTCTTCTGCTCCCACCTTCAGCCTTAAGCAACCACTAATCCATTTTCTATCTCTCTAGATTTTCCCATCATGGACATTTCACATAAAAGAAACAGTATTAACTGAATTTTTGTGACTGGCTTCTTTCACTTAGCATAATGTTTTCAATGTTCATCCATGTTGTAATGTGTATCAATATAAATTCCTTTTTATGGCTGAATAATAGTCAATTGTATGGATATACTACATTTTGTTAGTCTATTATTATGGATTATTTCCACTTTTTGGCTCTAAGAATACTTCTGTTATGAAGATTTGAGTACAAGTTTTTTGTGGACATGTGTTTCCATTTCTCTTGGGTATATACCTATGAGTGGAAACAAACCCGGGCCGCTGAGGTGGAGCGCACCGAAATTTAACCACTAGGCCATCAGGGCTGGTGCTGCAACACCGTTTTTTGAAAGATACTATGCTTTCATATTATGATGCTTGACCTGGATGATTATCCCTATTTAAAAATAGCCTATTTTAAAAATCGGTATTTTTAATCATGTGATTAGAATTAATAAAACTGTGTTCTCAGATACTTGGGGTTAAGTTTTGAGTTCGTGTTATTATTATTAGTTAGTGTTTGGAACCATTTAAATCTGATACTCTTGTCTATATAAGAGCAATTGCAGTGTAAAACTAGAGTTAAATTTAGTACTTGACACATAATATATATTCAGTAAATATTCATTGAACAAAAATGAATAAATCATACCATTATTTGATTGTTTTCCTTGTTGCTTTTTTAATGGGCATTTAATTTAGAAGGTAACGTATACTTAAAAGTTTATGGTTGAATAAATGCAGTTATTCTTATGGGTCATCTCTGTACAAATTGCAATAACAGAAAATAAATTCAAATCCACCTGTTTACATTCACATTCAATTCTAAAAAGCATCTCTCACTACTTTTCAGATAATTGCTATAGAATGAAGCATTCTTAAAGTGTGATCTGTGAAAATAATGTTACTATTTATTACAGTAGAAAGAGGGTCTTAAATAAATTTGGGACACATTGGGTCAAGTAAAGTAAAATGGACTTCTCTATTAAAGGACTTCTCAGAGCCCTTTTGTTTTGTTTTTTTGGTGAGGAAGATTGTCCCTGAGCTAACATCTGTGCCAGTCTTCCTCTATTTTGTATGTGGGATGCTGCCACAGCATGGCTTGATGAGCGGTGTGTAGGTCTGTGCCCAGGATCCAACCCACAAACCCCAGACTGCAGAAATGGAGCACGTGAACTTAACCACTACACCACTAGGCCAGCGCCTTTATGAAAGTGTGCCTTGTGGAAAAGGGGCATAGTATGCAACATTTTCCAAGTATATTTGGCCATAGAAACTTAGTTTGATTGAACATAATGACAGAGTTAGCAAACCAAGAAATACCTTTTAGAAAATGCTGCTGTGGTAATTTTATTTTGTGGACAATGAGGGAACTGGAGATCATCCATTTAATATTTGAATATACTCTATTTTGAATTTCAGTAAGAAAAAGCAGCCAAGAATATTATTATTGGTATCTGGAGTTGAATTTGCCAGGAATGTGAGCAACCGCTTCCTCGGTAAAGATCTTGCTTTTGGAAACATCTTACCCCTTGGCAGCTCTTCAGAGTTCAGACTTGGCAGCATCAAGAACACAATACAAGGTGTGTTTATTTGATTTAACATTTGGCAAAAGGTGTTTTGACTTCTGATTTGTTTTCTTTTGCTTCGTTTTTCTTGTTTTGGTTTGTTTGCTTTTGGCAATGAACTTGCATTCAGAATGTAGTTTTTTCTTATGAAAGGCAGTATTACAATGGGAAAATTTTTTTGCTTGTATTTATTTTGTGGTATTTGGGCAAATACAAGTAAATGAAGCAAGATCCATAGAGCTATAAATCTGCATCTGATTTATTTGTTAAGCCGTTTAGTATTATTAATTGTCTAGTAGGATTTGTTGCTACATTAAATACTTGATCTCTCTTGATATTTGATACACTATGATACTTGGTACATTACAATGTTTTGGTAATCATATATAGGTTATAATCAATGTCCTTGCATAGTAAAGTAATAAACAGATTAAGATCATCATAAAATGTCAGTTATTCAATACTAGTTTTAATTTTTCTTGGTTAATTGGTACATCCTCTTTTCACATGTAAACATGTATTGTGGGGAGAGGAAATATGTCATAAAATGAAAGAATATGGGCCCCCATTATATCTCTGACCTTATCTTCCACTATCCTTTTCCACCACTCAGTCTGTGTAGAATTCTTCAATGGCTCCCTGTTTTACTCAAGATAAAAGCTAAAGCTCTTAACCTAGCCTATACATCTCTGCAAGACCTGGCCCCTTGTTACCTCTCTAATCTCATCTCTAACCACTCATTTGCTGAGTCTCCCTGGCTCCCTTGTTGTTCTGTGAACATGCCAGGTGTGTTACCATCTCAGGGTTTGTGCACTCTTCTCTCTGTTGAGTTGCTCTTCCCTCAGATATCTGCATGGACGATTTACTTACTTTCCTTTGGGTTTTTATTAAAAGTTCGCCTTCTAAATAAGGTCTTCCCTGGTCACCATCCAAATATTCCTGCTCTATATTTTCTACTTAGCATTTATCATTATCTAATAAACTGTGTATTTTAAATTTGTCTTGCTTATTGTCATTATCCTTCACAAGAATATTAGCTCCTATGAGGGCAGGAGTTTTTGTTTCCTCTGATTTTACTCTGTCTCTAGTAACTAGAGCAGTCCCTGGCCTTTGATGAATGAATGAATAAACAGTTAATTTAGCAAACATTTTTTTAAGCACTTACCATAAGCTAGATGCTTTGCTAAGTGGTGAGGATACAGGGATGAAATACACAGTTCCTGCGCTCAGAAGTACAGTTTGAAGGGAGATGGATAATTACAGCAGCCATCTTACTACAGTGTTGTGTTATGATAAGAGTATGAATAGAATACTATCATCACTTGGAGAAGCAGCATTTGGATCAGATTGTGTTGGGTTCATGAAAGGCTTCCTGAAAAAGGTAACCCTTTGTATCAGTCAAAATAGCCTAGGTTATGCCGGGGGAACAAACAAGCCCAAATTTCAGTGTGAACACAACAAATGTTTATTTCCCACACAGGCTACATGTCCAAAATGGGTTGGTAGGAAAGCTCAGAGACTCAAGACATCAAAGACTTCATCAGACTTCATCAGTGTACTTCCATGATCACTGCAGCAGTGGGAAGAGAGAGTGGCAAATTATGCACTGGCATTTAGAGTTTCATTGGTCAAAGCAAATTGCTTAATTGCAAATGGGGAACTTTGAAGAGCAGTGTTGCCCTCTACCAAGAGAGAAAGGAGAATTGGAAGATATGTGAGTAGAATTAATGACCGCCATACCTTTCTACTGTGTTAAAGGAGTATAAAATATCCAGGCAAAGAAGTATTTGAAAGCATTTTCAGAGAAAAGAAAAGCATGGGCAAAGGCAATAAGCTGTTATGTAGTATGATAATATCAGGGATTGTATGTAATTCAAAGTAGTTGGAGCACAGTGTATGTGTGGGATAAAGACAGATAAAGAAATTGGAGGGAAAACAGAGGCTAGATTACACCAAACTGTGCAATTAGAACTCTATTCTAAAGGACATAAGGAAACATTGGATGATATAATATACTTCAGGGGAACTTTTTGATTAGGTTTTATTTGATTATTCTAGAAGATTATTCTAGATTATTATTCTAGATTATTCTAGAAGCAGTGTGGGTGATGGATTTGAGGGGAAGAAGACTGGAGACAGTAAGACCAATAATACTACTAATGTAATAAGGCTGGTAACACCCCAGATGAAGGCAGTGACAGAGGAGATGAGGAGGAGAACAAAAGGTAAAAGGGCGAGGAAAGTATATAGAGGGTGGGCTCCAGAGCACAGAGGACGTGTTGGCAAGAGACAGGACACCTCTTACACTATAATCAAAGTAGAAGTACTGACGTGGCCAGTCTTCATGCCTGAGTATGTGTGTGTAGATTAGTTTGTATTTGGTGTGTGTGTAAATATGTGTGTTGATGTTTGTAAGAGAGTGAGTTAGAACAAACTTGGAAAGTGAGCGATTCTTACCTAATGATGTGTATTTTTGTTATGACTTGGGAAACAAGCTCATGTACCCAGACTAAAATGAAGGTAGGCGGAGGACTTCGGGAGAACCCTGCAAACTGGAATTGCTACTGAGTCAAATGGGAGATGAGGCCGACTTGGGTCAGAGAGATTATTGGCTACTGTTATATACTTGCAGAAAATCAGATTGCACGTTTCACTGCAAAAATTGTTTTGGGAATCTCTGTTCCTTTTTTCTTCAAATTATTTAGAGTTCAGCAATAATTTAAAAATTTACACTTTAAAAGAATTTTGTGTATGCTGTTTCTATGAGAGGGGCTCATGAGATATAATCTAGCCCCTGCCCCCAAATTTTGGTTAATGTGATAATAAAGACTCAATCATTTCATAACAGGAAGATCTTCTAAATCTAGGGAGGCAGTTATCCAGTACTTTCTTTTTTTTTTGTGAGGAAGACTAGCCCTGAGGTAACATCTGCTGCCAATCCTCCTCTTTTTCCTTAGGAAAACTGGCCCTGAGCTAACATCTGTGCCCATCTTCCTCTACTTTATATGTGGAATGCCTACCACAGCATGGCTTGCCAAGCGGTGCCATGTCTGTACCCGGGCCACCGAAGCAGAACGTGTGCACTTAACCCCTGCGTCGCTGGGCCAGCCCCTCTCCAGTGCTTTTATAAAATCATTTTTTTTGTAGACTTTTAAATAAAGTAGTGTAATGTTACAGTGAAGTTTAATTTTTAAAAAGAAAATAGAAAAGTGATTGGAATACTTAGGATATTTTTCTTAAATATTTTAGGAAAACATCGTTTGGGGTGTACTATAATTTAAAGGATATTCTAAAATTGTGTTTCTTGTTGGCAAATGTGTATTAGACCCATGATTATTTTAAATATTTAGAATGCTAAATTTATTATTGCAAATGAAAGTTTTGAGGCCTAGGTGACAGAACCAGTTTATCTAATGTCAGATTACTGCTCATTGGAAAGAACCATACTGACCTGCTCAGTGCATGTGGTGGATATATAAGAGAAATTGTGACATATGGACTTAGTAGAAATAACACCAGGAGCTTACAACTTTTGAGGAGAGAATAACAAAGAATTGGTGGAAGTGTTCCCTTAGGAGGTTCTTTACTTAGACTGGAGGATAATTTGGGACTTCTGACAAAGATTAGCAATTCATTTGTCAGTTTTTAAAAATGAGTACTAGCATTTAAACTTTTTTTTTTTTGTTCAGAAGCCTCTCATTTATGAAAGTATGTGTTTTTTGGGGGGGGAAGATTAGCTCTGAACTAACATCTGCCACCAATCCTCCTCTTTTGCTGAGGAAGATTGGCCCTGAGCTAACATCTGTGCCCATCTTCCTCTATTTTATATGTGAGATGTGCCTGCCACAGCATGGCTTGATAAGTAGTTCTTAGGTCCATGCCTGGGATCTGAACCAGCGAACCCTGTGCCACTGAAGTGGAATGTGTGAACTTAACCACTGTGCCACCAGGCCAGCCTCTTAAAGTACGTATTTTTGAGTACTGATTACATACACATATTTTAAGCATGTAAGTGATACTCTATTAATCCAGAGTTTCCAATTTATTAACTATAAGTTAGCATATGCAATTTGGCATCTTAAAAGTTATCCAAAGATACTTTTGTGGAAGCCACTAAGCTGATGATGGAAGATGGTTAGGAGACCAAATAGTAGCAGAAAGTGTAGAATTTATATGTAATTAAGTTATTACAGGCTTAGTATATTATGAGACCATTCTTATACTCTGAGAACCTTAAACATAAGGGAGCCCATTGACTTTTTAAATGAATGTGAGATCATCAACTTCAGCTTGCTTTTAGTCTAAAAAAATTATTTGGATTGTGTGGTGCCTCAACAGTGAGTAACTGATTAAACCAGCATGGTGTAATGATATTAATAACATTTGTTGAGTGCTTACTATGTGAGAAGCACTGTGTTAGTTACTTTATATGAATTAGCCGTTTAATTTAACACTTGCAACAGCCGTTTGGGATAGGTATTCTTACTGTACCCATTTTAAAAATGGTGAATGAGTGTATCTTGGTAAACAGCTAAAAAGTGACAGAACCGGAAAGGAAACGAGTTAAAGTAGGGAGGAGTTAACCCACCCTTTATCAGGCTCATATTCTTATAAAAGATTGAGAGCTGATATTAATATTTTCAAACTCAAAGAATTTTTACTTATTTATGACAAGCATAAAATGTAGATGTTTTAAGTTAACATAACTGTCCTCTGGAAAATATTTACTGAAAAATAAGTATTGAGAGTCCACTGTGTGCCACATTGTTCTCACTGTTTGGGATTCTTTACTGTACAAAACAAAGATCCCTGCTCTTGTGGTACCACATTCTGGTGGAGGGAAGTCAGAAAATAAACAGTAGACTAAATTTAAAATGAAAAAAGCATTTCAGTATTTTTAAACTAATAGTTGATAGGTCTAAGGTAAAATAACTTCTCTGTTGCAAAACTAATAATCTAATAGCTCATATCATTTTGTAGTGCCTACATCAACTCATGAAAAGGATGAAATATTGATTGCTGTAAAATGATTGTTTATTTTAAATAATTAATTTGAGACTAAATTTTATGACCATTACTTTAATCTCTCCCTCTCCTTCCTCCTTACACACTGAAGATGCAGCATTCCAAGAAGGCAATGAAATGTCATTTGTCATTTGTAGAACAACTTTGTCTTTTAAAATTACAGATTAGGTGGTCAATGGCTAAAACAGAATGAAAGCAAATAAACAAAAGGCTTAGGACATATTTTTCCTATGAAGGATACATTTAAGTACAGTCTTAGCACTGTAAAATAACTGCAAATGCTCATGATGGAAAATTCAATTTTGTTCTTTTTGTTTGCAATATATAGGTGTGTGTATGCAATAAAGATGTGTGTATGAGAAAACGAGGAAGGGAGAGAATAAATATGAGAATGAATTGTGCTGGAGTTCCCTAGGTACCTTTGTTTCAGTAGCTTTTCAGAGTTCTACCACTGTAATCCAAGGAACTGACTCCATATTTACATATATTGTTAAAATAGAGGGTGCCATTTTCCTCTGTTTCTTCTACTTTCTCTCAAGCGATCTCAGTATTACTATACTGGATATTCCTTTGTGTGGGCGTATCTCGTATACCCCTCTGAACTGCTCTATTTGGTAGGCCACCTTGCATTAATTCTTTCCTGTGAATGCTTTAAGGAGTTAAATAAGGGATACGGTTTATGGACTTCATTAGTGAAGTAATAGTGATGTGGGACAGTGAAAAATTAAAATGCTCAATCACAAGGTCGTTAACAAAGAATGAAAAATAATTAAGGGCAAAAGAAGAAAGAAGGTTTTTAGATAAAATCGAAACTCAAATATAAAAAGACCACTGTTTTGAGAGAGGCATAGGAAAGATTTTTGCAGAGGATAGAATCAGTATTAAAAGTCCTGTTCTATTAGTAACTAGATTTTTGTACTGAAAGAGATAACATGAAAGTCTTTGGAATAAGCTCTAAAAAAGTTTTGAAAAAAGTAGAGGTAACAAAAGTGACTCATGTAGTTAAAAAATAAACAGTAGGGAGTATGATGCATTAAGGAGAAATATGGTCCAATCAGAGATTGTGGTTATGACCAATAATGTGAACAAGTTGGAAAACAACATTCTTTTGTTTCTTTACTAATTACTGCAGGCAGTTTATACATGGAATAAGAGTTGTTTACTTTCATGAAATCCCATTTTCTGATCTGAGCTAAGCAGGCCGAGTTTAAAGGCAGGGGCTCAGAGCAGTTCATAACCTTTTCACTACATTCATTTTTAAATGCCTTATTGGAAAGAGAATGTCCTGGTTTATGATTTTCATATTTCTTTCCCGTTTAGAAAGAGGCAGATGGTATGAAAACTGGACTCCCTTATTTAAAGGGGATGATGTTGGTATTTATAACCAAGCTTATCTCCAGCAAGATTTGTTTTTTGCAGCTGTTCCAGGTTGGAAAAAAATATACTAAAGCCCTGGCTTGTTTTTCTTTCCATATTTGGGGGCTAAAGGAGGAATCTTCAGAATGTGAAAAAGTGATGTTTGATTTTAAACATGAATGCGATGTAAACTGTGAGTTTTTGCTTCTATATGTGAATTTTTTGTTTGTATGGTGTGAGGTGTGATGATATTCTTTTTGTTTCACTGATCTGTTTCCTAGAAGAATCACACTTGAGAAATAATTTACTCATCATTTTCATATCATAAAATTATTCTGGGAAGTGGAGTAGATTTTCATTAAGAGTTAGCCTATGTTATTAAACAAACCGATTTCTAATTTTCCATTTTGATATTTTAGTCATTTACTTTCTGCCCAGAGCATCTGGTTCACTGGGAAATTAACTTTTTCTGTTCTTTTTCATAATTATATTATTTACTATAAGATATATTTTCTCTTTTTGTTTTCTGTTCTATGCTTCTATTTTCAATTATAAATGCTGCTGGTTTTCTCTGGACATATTTTAGAAACTAATTTAATTGAAAATTAACTGTATTTTATACTTTAAACTTCATACATGGAGCTATCTCTTTGGGCACATGATAACACTAGAATGAATATCGAGGCCTGGACACACATATAATCTTTGTACATACATGTTCTGTGTATGCACCTACACATACACAATTTTCCATAAAGAAGAATTTTTTATAATAAATATATTGATTTATTGTGAATAACTGTGATTGTTGATTTATGTAGAGATAACTTATACAGCTTGCTTGTCAAATTAAAGCAAACCCCACTATTTATGTAGAGATTACCTTCCTGAATATGAAATATTATGCAAATTATGATTGTCAGACTTGTATATTTTTTCCTTTTTAATAATTGAAGGCAAAACTTTTATTTAAAAGTTTTTATTCCCTTTCTCTCAGCACTCACATTGTGAAGACCAGCATATTGCTTAAATCTATGAAAAAGAACCATTACTAGTAGCAAACAATTTAGTTATCTCCAGAGAGTTTCTGGCTGTTTTCTGAATAAACCCTTTAAACTCCAATCTTCAGTTCACAAAATAATCACTCTCTCTCTTTAATCACATAGAACATGAATACCTTTAGTAGATTTTTTATCAGTTCAGTTCATTCCACATCTTTTTCTATTCTTTCTTTATTCTTTATAATGATATTTACAGTTAAAAGCGTTAAGTGAAGAATATGGAAACTGTTGGTGTATCACCTGTCTCTATCTTTTTATAAGGAATGCTTTTCACTCTATTATATTAGTTCATTGCACAATGCCATCCTTTCCTTGCATGAGTGTTTGCCTAAGGTTTAGTCAAAATTTAAATGGAATTCTCAAAATTGAGGAACAAGTTGACATGGAACACTTAGTGAAAGCTGCCAGCATTCTACTACACTGTACTCTCACCATATAACAGAGCAAGTGATTCTAAAAAGGTATGAAACTGTGCAAATAAAAATCTTGCGCCCATCATTCCTGGTTTTGTTGTTATTTGCTGCATGTTTCCAATGGATTACCTATATGAGTGAGCATTTAAGGACCATGTGACCTGGGGTTGTCTATTTTCATTTTTTACTTCTTCAGCTAGAAGATCTAAAGTTATGTTTCACAAATTCTTTGAGAATAATAAAGATGAAAGGATATTCTTTCAATCAGTCCTTCATATATCTGAGTGATATGTAAGTTCAGATACAAAGAGCTAGGGCAGAAATAAAATTGTGTGACATGGCTGAAGGAGATGCTGTGTTTAGTCATATACATAACATATGACTGTGTACCAGTGTAAAAAAGAAAGTAAAATAAAATATATTTAAAAACTATATTAAAGTAATTGAATTTTTTAATTCAGAAAGTATGTATTTCCTGTGCTTGTGACCTTTCATATGAACATCAATGATCATTATTCTATTGGTTTAAGGGGCAAATAGCAAACTGCTGACCATAATCATCCTCTTTTGCAAATATGCTTCTAGAGAACCTGATTCACAGGTAAAATCTTAGCTTATCTGAAGGAGGATTTGATCAATACTGTTGAAAACTGACCAGTGGAAAAGAGAAAACTTGCAGAGTACTAATGCCATTTTATAGTAGAATAAATATTGATTCTAAAATAGAAACCATTAAGACATATGTTAAAAGAGTATAATGACATTTTAATTTTTTAATAAGAATGTAGTTTAGGAAAGGATCTAACAAACTTTACACATTCTTTTGTCTTTAAAAATAATTGCTAAGAGGCTGGCCCAGTGGCATAGTGGTTTAGTTCACGCACTCTGCTTTGGCGGCCCAGAGTTTGCAGGTTCAGATCCCAGGCACACACCTACACACCACTTATCAAGCCATGCTGTGGTGGCATCTCACATACAAAAGAGAGGAAGATTGACACAGATGTTAGCTTCCTCACCCCCCCCCCCCAAAAATTACTAATAATAACTTTCATGACTGTATTTAACTGATGCAATAATCTAGATATTAGATGGCTTATTTCCAGGTATGTATTACTTTTCCATTGCTGTGTAGCAAATTACCATAAACTTAGTGGCTTAAAACAAAAACCATTTATTCACTCACAACAATTTTGTAGATCAGAAGTCCAGCATGGCCTGATTGGGATCTCTGAAATCAAATATCAACCAGGCTGTGCAAGGTTCTGTGGAAGAGTCCACTTCTAAGATCATATCGGTTGTTGGCCAAATTTAGTTTGTTGTGGTCGTAGGGCTGAAGTTCTCATTTCCTCCTTGGGTGACTGGCTTCCTTCAGGCCACCCATATTTCTTGCCACATGGCCCCATCCAGTAGTGGAGAATTTCTCATACATCAAATCCCTTTCACTTTGAATCTCTCTGACTTCTCTGACTTTGACCTCTAGACCGAGATTTAAAGTGCTCATATGATCAGATTAGTCCCACTTGGATAATATCCCTTTTCTAAAGTCAACTGATATGGCACATTAATTAGATCTGGGAAACCCCTTTTGCTATTTAATATATTGTAATCACAGGAGTTACATCATATTCACAGATATTATGATCAATCACAATATCAATATCATTAATATCAATATGATCAATCACGTCATATTCACAGATTCCACCCACACTCAAGGGGGGAGATATACAAGGATGAGGGTATTGGAGGTGATCTTAGAATTCTGCCAGCTACATTTGATTTGGTTATTACTTATCAATATAAGCATATGGATAACTTTTAATTGACTGTGTACTCCAGGATCACCTCATTTATTTTTGTAGTTAATACCATGTCTTTCTTACTTTACCCACTCAACATTTTTGTATTTACATTTGACATTCCACTTCCTACATCTCTGTGGCTATTATCGTAGTTTTCTTCTTATCTGGGTTTAGAGCAGGGCAGACATAGGGAATTCACAGCTTGAGACTTCTATTTTAAAGAAGAAGCTTATGAATTCCTAGGGAGAGTTATTTTGGATCTCCATTGGATATTCAAAACTGTTTTTGAAAAACTACAGAGTACCTCAGTTAATTGTAAAAAGCTGTGATATATTTAGGAATTGATGGGACAGAAATAGAGTAATGAATTATCTTATCACAGGTTTTCCAGACAACAGAGTCTGAGGCACAGCTTATGCCTGGGTGCAATACGAGGAGAAGAATGAATGAAAAATGGAAGAAAGAAAAACAGTATATGAGAAAAAAGAAACACAAGGTAGTTACTAAGCTGACCACAGCTGCATGACAAAAATAGACTTTTGTTTAGTCATGTGGGATTCCTCCTGCCAAGCTGTATAGAACCAATTAGTTGAATTGAGGAAGAGAAAGAAATTTATCTGCCAACATCTTCCTATCTCTTATTTCTCACTGGTGAAAGCTCACCTCATGGTATGTTATTGTCCCCGTACCTTTCAGATTGTTGTTGGGGAAGTCAGATCTCATACTCTGTGCTATGGGTCTTCATCGGAATCTGGAAGTGGTGGGAAGGCCAAGCTTCTATGGGTCTAGGTGCAGATATTGCTGTGGCTGTGGGGGTGGTGATAGAAGCTGTCTTCACCTTCACTCGTAGAAGAAGCCAAGTCAGCCAGTGGTATTAGAAGATAAGTTGAAGGTAAAGGCTGGTGCTGTTCGTTGGGCAAGTGACTGAGGATCCAGTAGGCAGTGAATCTGGAGAAGTACATACATTGGGTCTAACATAGGATGATACATAGTGATTGCATCTGGCTTAACTTCTTTAAAGATTCTCTATCATATGTAAATGTGCCTTTGATTGTACCCACACCACAGTTAGAACTCATTAAAGGTTTGTTATGTTTAATTTTTAGTTAATGTAGTCTCTGGTTCTTAGAGTCTTTTCAAAATTTACAGTGGTTTTTTTTTCCTTTTATGATGGAGAAGTGAATCAAGCATAATTAATATGAGAAACAATAAATATCATTCCTTTGGATATCCTTTGTTAGTTGAGTCCTAGAGTTATACTAAAAGGCATCGATCTTGTGAATGTGTTGCTTTTCAAATATGAGTTTTCAACCAGGTCAGTATTTATTCATGTAGACAAAAGCCAATTGTCTAATTTTCACGCAATTACTATAACAGCAAAATTCAAATTAATATGTACATGGTCTTCTTATATAAAAATTTTGTTATTTTTTTTGTCATTGTTAGCAAGATGAGGGTAGGGTGAACCCAGGTTCTTTAATAAGGCTTGTTGGACTGTCCAAGGGGTAAAGGTTAAGAACAAATAGACTTATTAATCTCTAGGTTTTTTCTGATTATGTGATTCTGTCATTCTAAATAAACTTGTTGTACTGACCAATTATATTCAGATCCTTCCTTTTATATCTCTAAGGTAAGTTCCTTGGCTTTAACAGGACCATTCTTATTCCCAGGTTCAGGTATATTTGTATCTATTTTAGCTAAGTTCCATAGTTTTAACTGCTACCTAATAGTCCCAGATTTTTCTCCTGCAAACTAACCTCAAAGGTTGATCTCTGGGACTATATTTTAATTGACTTTTGGAAAACTCTTAACTATGAAGAAAATAAATAATAGCTGTCTAATGAATAAACAAACCAAAGTTTACATAGATCAAGTAAATTTCCATCATCAATTGTACATAAAAAGCATGTTATTTGTTTTGTAATGAAATATTTCATTATCAAATGAAGTGTAATAAAATAATATTATAAACATCTATGTCTCACACCAAAGATTAAGAAATAAAATTGCAAATTGAAGACTTTCTCTTCTGGCCATGATGGATTAATAAAGGCTAGACTTTGCCCACTGTAAACAGCTAACAAAAATAAACTGGTATATTTCAACAGTTTTCAAACACTGGACAATAGACAGCATAGAATTGTGATTCCTGAGAGAAGGGAAACAAACAAGGTAAGCACTGGCTTTCTTCTTGGAATTAACTTCCTGATTATGAATATGGAGAAGAGGAACCTAAACAGAGCCCAGCAAACTCACTGAGTTTAGGTGATAGAGATTGGAATTTGGAGAAGCTGAGGCAGCTGTTCTGGGGCAGTTCTGGAGGGAGCTATGCAGCCAAAACACATCAGAAATCTGCATAGGGATTCCCTTGAGTCTTTTTTGTATTCTGTATTCTGGGCCATGCATGTGTAGTGTAAAACTCCATATGGAAGGGCATAGCATGGGACGGAAGTTTTAAACTGAACATTTCTGAGAGCTTGCATAGAATAGTGAGATATTAGAACTTTGGTCAGTCAGAATGGTGTGACCTCATGATCAACCAGGGCATTTAGTGGAGAGCCTAATGTCTTAGAAGTAGGGCTGATCTATCCCTGGAGTGAAGACTGTTCCAGACCCAATGCAGAAAAACTTAAATAAAACATGGTCAAAGTGGATCTGCAAGTAACTTAACTGCCTCCCATTCCTCCCAACAAAAAATCCAAAATGTTTCAAAGGAAGAAAATGATATCCAGACAGTCAACAATGTAACATTTATAATGTCCATCATCCAATAAAAAATTACTAGACATGTGCAAGGAGCAGGAAAATGTGCTCCATAACCAAGAGAAAAAATAGTCAATAGAAATAGACTCATAAGTGACGGATTTGGTATAACTGATAGCAAGAAATTTAATCAGTTATAAATATTTAAAAATTTTTCAAGGAAAACATGAACATAGGAGAGAAATGAAAGCTTTAGAAAGAGAGAAAATTCTAGTGCTGAAAAATACAATTTCTGAATTAAAAATTTCACTGGATAATATTCTTAGCAGATTAGACACTACAGAAGACAAGATCAGTGAACTTGAAAGTATTATAATAAAATTCCTCCAAAAGGAAAGACAGAGAGAAAATAATTGCTAAAAAATTTAAAAAGAGCCTCAGTGACTGATGAAACTATATGAAGCGTCTAGTATATATGTTGTTGAAGTCCCAGAAAGGGGGAGGCAGAAAAAATATTTGAAGAAATCCTGGCAGAAAATTTTCCAAATTTGATGAAAACTATAAGCTCACAGATGTAAGAACTCAAGGAACCTTAATCAGGATAAAAACAAACAGGCAAACAAACAGACACCAAAGCACATCAAAGTTAAATTGCTGAAAACAGTGATAAAAAATTTTTTTCTAAAGTAGCCAGAGCAAGGGAGGAATATGAAATAAAGAAAAAAGATAAATTTGAAGAGTGTTCATTAAAGCTGTGCCAACCAGAAGAGAAAGGAGTGACATCTTTCAAGTACTAAAAGAAAATAGTTGTGACCATAGAATTCTATACCTGACAAAAATATTCTTCAAAAATGAAAGACAAAATAAATACTTTTGTATCTTAAAAGAAGCTGAATTTTTTCTCCCAAATACTTACACTACAAGGAATGTTAAAGAAAGTTCTTCAGGAGAAAGGAAAATGAAACATCAATCTATACAGGAATAAAGAGTACTGGAAATAGTAAATATAGTACTAAAGATAAAAGATATTTTTCTCATTTTTAAAATTTTTAAAAAGATACGTGATTGTTTAAAGAAAATGTATTAGCAATGACTTATAATATATATAGATGTGAAGTGTTTGACAACAGTAGCCCAAAGAGTAGGGGACAGGAATGGAAGTTTACTGTTGTAAGGCCTAATATAATATGTAAAGTGGTAGAATATTATTTGAAGATAGACTGTTATGTTATTTATGTATATTATAAATTCTAGAGTAACTGCTAAAAATGCAAAACAGAGGAATAACTAATAAAAGCAAAGATAGAATAGAATTTTAAAAATGTTCAATTAATCCAAAAGAGGCAGATAAAGAACAAGGAACAGAACAGGTGGGATAAATAGAAAATAAATTGCATGATAATGGATATAAACATGAAGATATCATAATTCCATTAAATACAATGATCTTAACACTCCATTTAAAACAGATGTTTTCAGACTGGGTTAAAAAGTAAGACCCAACTATATGCTGTCAACAAATCCAATTAAATACTTCTGTACAAGCTATCTAAATGTTATCTTCCTTCCTTGTTCCCACCAGATAACTAAAGAATTTGGTGTTTTATCATTAGGATGAATGAATATGTGTATATAATCTAAATAAGTAATTTTTCCCTAAATAATATCAGCTATTGATTTTAATGTTTTAAAATGTTATATAAATATATCAAAACATGTATCTTTGGTGACACATTTTAACTGCTTTATATTTCATTGATGAATAAATTGTGATGTACATACAGGGTTTTGATTTTTGTCCAAAATTTATTTTAGGTTATTAAAAATGTTGCAGTGAACATTCTTGCTAGTGTTTTTGTGTACATATAGGATTGTTTCTCTAATTCCTATAACAAGCAGTGGCATTTATGGTTCTGATATACATATCTTAAATTTTACTTGATATTGCTGCATCACTTCCCAAAATACTCATTAATTACTGCTCTTATTTTATTGCAATAGTCTATCTCCTAAAAAATTTTCATAAGTGGTCTCGCATATACTTTTTAGAGGTACTCGTAATATTTATAGGTATTTTATAGATTTTACTGCTATAGTATATTATGATTTTTGTGTATAGTAGACTTCATATATAGTAAACTTGCTGAACTCTTGTAAAGGATGTTGTACAGATTCTAATAATTTACCTGTAGCTTTTCTCACCCACCTCCCCGGTCATATTATTTGAGAATAATAACTTGGTGTTTTCCTTGCCAATCCCTAAGTCCGTTTCCTCTTGCCTCACTAAATTACCTAGATGTCTCAGTGCAATGATTATCTTTGTCTCCTTTATGATTTTCGCTATGAAATATAATCTTTTCTTTATCTGTTTGCCTACCTATCAACAGAGTAAGAAATTTCTTTTCTATTCCTATTTCCTTCCTTCCTTCCTCCATTCCTACCTCCCTTCCTCATTCCCTTTCTCCCTTTCTTCTCCTCTTCCTCCCTTCTTTTCTATTCTCTCTCTCTCTGTTGAAGAATCAATGGGCATTTAGTGTAACTTTTTTCTCCCTGTATCTATTGAGGACTTGCAGCATTTTCCCTCTAATCAGCCATCATGGAGAATATCATTAATGTGTTATATAATGTTAAATTGTTCTTGCATTTTGTTATTAGTCCAGCTTAATCGTGTTAAATTTTGTTATTATGATTGTATGTACTGGATTTGGTTTCTAATATTATGTTTAGGATTTCTATCTCTCTCTCCATAAGTGAGATTATGAGATTTCATTCTCATAATGTCCTTGCCTTGTTTTCATTTCAAGGTTTTGTTAGCCTAATGAAATGAGTTGAGCAGTATTGTGCCTATTCAATTTTTCAAAATAGCTTTTTAAAAAATATACATCTGATATAGCTTGTTATAAGGATTATCTATTCCTGGAATGTTAATAGAACTTTCCTCTAATACTATCTAGACTTGCCTGTTTTGTTTTATGTGTATCTTTTCTTTTTAAGGGTAGATTTTTAAACACTAATTGACTTTATTTGATGATTATAGTTCTATTCAATTTTACTCTACCTCTACCTTCTTGAACTAGTATTGGTAAGTCTGTTTTCTAAAAAATGTATGTTTTAATTTTCAAATTTATTGACAAGGAGTTTTCCATGGTGTCCGCTTGTTATGTAAAATTTCTGCTGAATATTTAGCCATGTTCCCTTTTTCATTTCTAATATGTTTGTACCTTTTTTCTTGTTTGTATCTTTTTTCTTGTTCTATCATGACAAGAGTTTGTTCCATGTGATTGTTTTTAAAAAGATTAGCTTTTGTTTATGTTGATCATCTCATCTCTTTTGCATCTTTATTTTCTATTTCAGTATTTATTGCTCTTAGTTTATTTATCACTCCTTGTAATTTGGGGAACTTTACTCTTTATTGTAGTGTTTTCTTTGTAGTTCTTTTTTTTCAATCTTTTGTCTATTCTAGTTTCTTTCTTCTAAGTATTATGTTAGCTGAATCCTATATTTTTCTGTAACTTTTCATTGAAGTATAATACATGCAGCAACATGCGCATAACACAAGTGTAGATGGTGCATTTTCACACAATGAAAACTCATGTAGCCAGAACACTAATTTACAATTGAAGTGTTTTAATGTCTGTAGTCCATGGCATTAATGGAATTTGAAGTCTTTCATTGCTTTTTGACTATTTCAAATCTATATTTTCTATATTTTTGTTCGTTAGCTTTTCTTTAGTTATTTCTTCTTTGTGAAACTGAATGTTCTTAAAAAGGTCACCTATCAAACAGTACTTTGACATGAAATGCCTTATACATTTGATAGAATAGGAATTAGTGAATAGGAGATGGGAGATAGAACCTGGTACAAAATAGAATGTATGGTTTTCTCATTTGTGTTTTGGTTCATATCTGGGATATCCTTTTCTCCATCAATCCATTGTTATGGAAACATTTAATATACTTTTTAATATTGTACTTTTTTCCTCCATTTTTATTTGTTTCTACAGAGTAGAGTTGTATTAATTAATAATCCCGTGCTCCTCCCCATTAACCTTTTTGCATGTTGTTTTCTCAAGTTTTTAAATTCAATACAGGCATACTTGTGTTATTGTGCTTTGCTTTATTGTCCTTCAGTGATACTGCATTTTTCACAAAGTGAAGGTTTGTGGCAACCCTGCTTAGAGCAAGTCTTATTGGCGCCATTTCCAACAGCTTTTGCTCATTTGGTGTCTCTGTGTCACATTTTGGTTATTCTTGCAACATTTCAAACTCTTTCATTATTATTATATTTGTTAAGGTGCTCTGTGATCCGTGATATTTGATGTTACTATTGTAATTGTTTTGGGGCACCGTGAACTACACCCATATAACATGGCAAACTTAATCGATAAATATGTGTGTTCTGACTGCTCCACTGACTTGCCGTCCTGCCTCCCTCCCTCTCCTTGGTCATCCCTATTCCCTGAGACACA